GTAATAAATTCCCTTCAACACTGCTTCCCTTGTTTTAAGGGTGTCTCCCCTTTATTGGAATTTCTTTTGCTGCTAGACAATTACTTTGGACCTCTCATGGTTGGGTACGTTATCTCCAAAAAAGAATGATCTCTTTGAAGTTTGAAGACATGAATTTTACAAAAATTGCCCTTAAATAATACTGTACCACTTCTTATCAGGAATTGCTTTTGTTAATATCTGTTGATCCTTTTTTATATTTGTTCAGATTAGAGAAGGTTAAAAAGCCTAGAATCTTATAACTGTAACCCTTGCATTTTCTCACCGCTTTTTATCAGGAATTGCTTTTGTTAATATCTGTTGATCCTTTTTTATATTTGTTCAGATTAGAGAAGTTTAAAAAGCCTAGAATCTTATAACAGTAACCCTTGCATTTTCTCATCGCTTTTTATCGGGAATTGCTTTTGTTAATATTTGTTTCTGTCTTGATTATCTTTTTGGTATATTTTATTCAGATTGGAAAAGTTTCTAAAGCCTTGGAGGTAAGCAAAATTATGGAATCTTCTGGCATAAGGCATAATATGAAGACATATTCCATGTTGATCAATGGATTTTTGAAGTTGAAAGATTGGGCAAATGCATTTGCAATTTTTGAAGATGCGGTGCGAAATGGTTTAAAGCCTGATGTAGTGCTTTACAATAACATCATCAGAGCATTCTGTGGGATGGGTAACATGGATCGTGCTATTCATACTGTCAAGGAAATGCGAAAAGAGAGGCATATGCCTACTACACGTACATTTATGCCTATCATACATGGTTTTGCAAGAACTGGTGACATGAAAAGGGCTTTGGAAATTTTTGATATGATGAGAATGACTGGTTGCATTCCAAGTGTACATACTTTCAATGCTCTGATACTTGGTCTTGTTGAGAAACGCCAGGTAAATTACTGTAGATCAGAATCATGTTATAGACAAATCCTAGACTGTGAACTGGGATCTAAAGTAACATTCTTGATTCATGAAGCTTGTTGTGACACTAGTTTATGTTTTACTAACTATTTGATTTTTGGAAGAATATATTGGCATTGTCAGTAGCTGTATAAGCTAACTAAATTACTGTTCTACATGATGCCATATTCAAATTTATCTGCATTTTCCTTAAATATGAATTATTGCTGCCTCATGATCCCAATTCCCACACATGCGCACAGACATTGACATCCCATTTTTGTTATGTTTATGAAATAGCCCTAGCCCTAGCAGAGTTAATATTTTTCTTCACTTTGACTTTGAACATTTTTATAGCCATACAATCTCCTTACAACAGAGTTAATTTGTTGCAGATGGAAAAAGCTGTTGAAATATTGGATGAGATGAACCTGGCTGGTATAAGTCCAAACGAACATACATACACAACCATCATGCATGGCTATGCATCGCTAGGTGATACTGGAAAAGCATTTCAATACTTCACAAAATTGAGAAATGAGGGTCTCGAGCTAGATGCATACACATATGAGGCGCTTTTAAAAGCATGTTGCAAAGCAGGGAGGATGCAAAGTGCCCTGGCAGTCACAAAAGAAATGAGTGCTCAGAAGATTCCAAGAAACACCTTTGTTTACAACATATTAATTGATGGGTATGAAGTATTTATGGATTTTTTTATTATGAACTATCACTCAAAGATCTCTTCTTGTACTCTGTTTTTCCCTCCACTTTGTAGAATTATTTAATATTCATTATTTACTCAATTCATTTTAACCTTATGATTTTGATTTTTCTATCTTTTCATCATTTACCTTGCCTATTTGTTGGCTGTTCCTGAATTCAATTCATTTCCTTTATAGATGGGCTCGAAGAGGTGATGTTTGGGAGGCTGCTGACTTAATGCAACAAATGAAACAAGAAGGTGTTCAGCCTGATATTCGTACCTATACATCTTTCATAAATGCATGTTGCAAGGCTGGAGATATGCTGGTATGCCCTTACTCACTCTTTGGTTATCACTATGATACTACAGCAGATGTTTAACTTATTAACTCTCTCAGTATTTCTCATAGCATTTGGTGATAAAAGTATTTCCAATACTGTAGAGATAGAGAGCTTCAGCTTACATAAATTGTCATTCTGCTCTTTTCTGGTCTTATTTTGTTATTTACTCATGCCTCGATGAAAATAGAATCAAAATACTGTAGCATTTCTTGTCCATCTTGATGCCTGTGCCATTTTGTGGGCAAGTTCTTTGATGAGGGTGGGATTTTGTTTTCCAGAGGGCAACACAAACAATCCAAGAAATGAAAAGTATGGGAGTAAAGCCAAACGTTAAAACCTACACAACATTAATCCATGGATGGGCGCGTGCATCTCTTCCAGAGAAGGCTTTGAAATGCTTTGAAGAGATGAAGTTGACTGGATTGAAGCCTGACAAAGCTGCATATCACTGCTTGATGACATCCTTACTTTCGAGGGCTACCATTGCGGAGGCATATATTTACTCAGGAATAGTTTCTATTTGTAGAGAGATGATAGAGTCAGGCTTGACAGTTGATATGGGGACTGCAGTCACATGGTCCAAGTGTCTGCGAAAGATTGAAAGGTCCGGCGGAGAACTCACAGAAGCCTTGCAGAAGACCTTCCCTCCTGATTGGAACGAATGCCACCATACTACAAATACAGACGAGGAATCCGGCAGTGACGATGTTGATGAAGAAACATATTTCAGCAGTGGGATTGATAGTGATGATGAAGATGAAAATTTCAACCACAGGTCCATGTTTTGATTTAAAAATTGGAAATTGCAGGCATTGCATTCCATGGGAATGAGATATATATGTATACACATAAATTTCTCGGGCAATTTTTGCAACATATTTACAGTACAAACTTTTGTGTGTAAAATCATTTTAACTATAATGGTATTTTTAATTGGTTTTCAAAATGAGTAAAATTTACATATTTGTCTTTAATTTAATTAAAACCAATAATTTGTGTTAATGATCTAAGTAATTTAATAATTATTTTCTTTCACTGTAAATAAATAGTTCTGAATTTGAGTTGCATGACGTCGGTGAAACGAGATAAAGGATAAAAGATAATTACTTTAATTGTACAACCAAAATAAAAAAAAAAAATTAAAACAAGTAATTTGTAACTATAGTAATGGTTCATTGACTTACGTTAGGAGTGTAATTCAATAGCTTCTAATAATTAGCTATAAATTGGCTTTTTGTTGTTGTTTTTTTTTTTTTGTGTTTTTTTTTTCAACAGTAATCCAAGAGTGAGAATTTTAGGTTTCGAAAATCATACACAGAACAACAGCGCGAGATCAAGAAAAGTGGAGGATTTGATTTAATTAGGTATTAAATATATATTATTTTAATTACATAATAAGAGATAATTATCTTTTATCTTTTGTCCCATTCGACCTTTATATTATGCGATTTAAATTTAAAATTTTTTATTTTTAATAAAAAAATGATTCCTGAATTATTTAAGTTATTAGCTGAATTGTACATATAAACTTTTTTTTTTGCCTTTTTTGGTTATATTTAGTATTGATGTTGTGTTGTTGATTTTTATTTTATTTTTTTTTTTTTTGTGTTGTTGGTTTGAAAGCCAAAATTTAAAACTAAAATTGTGGACTTCTTGTTGGGTACAAATTTTTAAACCAATGGAGAAACTTCAACTTTCAATTCAAATTGCGGCAGTTAAAACAAACTTATGTATGATGGGTGTTAATTATTAGTATTACTGTG